GTCGTACCACCCCTTATGGATTAGATGTTGAATCCATATGATTATCTAGGGCAAGATCAAGGTACATGCGAGATTGGAGGACAAATCTGATCATTCTCCATATGCGTTCATCCCTGGGACAATAGAGAGTACTATAGTACGACAATACAGTAACGGCACAACTCAAAACACCAAGACATGCGCGAATCAGTGAAGTGAACGAGGCCAACCGACAGTCAGAAGTTCAAACGCCGGAGCCTACTATTCCGTCAAGGCAAGTACGTAAAAATCGGGTTAGCCTTAGAGCGTATGAGGATCAATGTAGCCCATGGTTAGGTGCTTCTTTGGTGGTGTCACAGAGATGGAGTATGACCTGAGAGTGTCGAACAAACTGGATGTGAATATGGTATATCTGATATATCGATCGAGCATGACCTATTGATGTCAATCAATATTGGAACAAGTCAGTTGGGATATCGGACCCTCTAACCAAAGCAGGCGTAATCATGTACAGTTAAAGGATGCTCGATGGCAACCTTCAAGCTCGATTTATGCAGTTCCACAACTTTCTCCGACAAGTTTTGTGTAAGGCCATATACTGTATTGCATGGCTAATTTTCACAACGCAACCTTTCAGTTGAAGCTCATATTGTGATGAAAGCAATCGACGGAGAAAATAAATAAATCGGAATGAGAACGGACTCCGCACGACGAGACATGCAGATGTAATGTATGAAAATAACGCCAATGGCAATAGCTACAGCCCGGTATGTGATTTTCAATACCTTATTGGGACAATGTTAAGATAAACCGACCACAGAGCAATCGATCGACGTATCGCAATCAATGCTCCAGTCAATACAGCAGGAACAGCACAAAGAAGAACAGGCGTGCTACTCACCAATGTTTGAGTGAAACTGTTGGAAATAAGCGAATAGGAATCGCGTATCGTCGGGAATCAACCCTAGTTGATCGAAGGCCTCCGTTACTTGACTTCGAAGTTGATCCCCTGTTGAGTCGATGGATTCGCGCAGCTGATGAGACCCAACCAGGTCGAAACAGCATTGGACAGCTGTCCAATGATTCTTAGCTTTTCAGTTCACGCTTCATTTGCCATATATACGGCGAATTCCCCCATTCAAATATCACGATGGTTATTACATGTATTAGTATTCAACTATAAAAACTAGAATTTACCGAGGTCCACCGAATGAACTTCTAAGACGAGGTTAATTGTTCCGGTGAATTCTAAGGAAAACTTGTCGGGATGGTCAGCTTACATGCTAACTGGTGGATGCCACATAACTCTGTAAGTTGGATGGGTAATTCGAATGTGAAAAGATCAGGGCTATCGGTGTGACCTCGTAGCTCAGTTGGTAGAGCATGCGCGTACAAAGCATAAGCGGCGTTCACGCGTGGGTTCCAATCTCACCGAGGTTACTGAACTCTTCGCAATCGGCATAACAACTGCAAACCTGCCAAACAACAATATTTGTACTTGTTCAGATTCCGCAAGGTGTCTATAGACAAAAGCAAAATAGGGTACGACCAGTTTCCCGTTGTTCAAATGAGCAGTGTTGAATCCATTCTGCATCGAATAGACTCTTCAATCATTCATTGTGATCACCTCTTACGCACACATACACACACGCATTCCACGCCCATGTCCTGCTCGTGTTCCTCTAGTCCTGTTGTGTTCTCAATTCCATCCTCCCATTGGTCAGTGTCTATGACTGTCCTGCTCGGCTTTTGCACACACGTACGCACCAATGACATGTTTGCTCCACTACGCTACCCGCTGTGTTACCGGTCTCACCTGCCTCATCGATCCGTGTCCATGATTGACCGACCTTGACACCCCTTTACACCCTTTACACCCACATACATGCACTGACGTTCCACGGTGTCCCCTTATGACACCACTGCATTTGGATTGGTTCCCTTGGACGCTTCCGACCGTTGATAGTCAACAGATGCATGTCTCCCGGTTTGATATATATCAAGCCGCGCACTGGATCAGTGTCACACCACAAGCACGCTCGCAACGCCAAAGGTGAGTCGACTCCGGATTGGATTATTAGGACGAATCAGGCAGTCGTCTGCTCGACCAATCGGATTATGAAGACCGCGATCTGATTGGTGCATCACCACTTCGTTCGTGTAAGCCCGACTTACCCACTCACATTTGTGTATCGCATGCTCTCTCTCCCTCGTATTGTTGGGGTTTGTGTCGGTCGTACGTCGGGGCAGAACACATCAGGACGCGAACGCCTCCGTGAACCAGAGCCATATTTGAGCATAGACGAAGGTGGACCTTCGGGGCCAACTGCACTCGTGATTTTTGCAGTTTTGAGAAAATTATAGACCTCGTGGGTTATTGGTATACGTGAGATAAGCGATCTGTGTGGTATGGAGACAAAATCATTTGAAGAGTAAATGAATGCAGCACTAAAGCTGTCCATGGCAATAGTTTTGTTTGTTGGCAATTTCTTCGGTCCCAACAGCAATCTGAACCCTTACCATAAACGTCTTCTATCTTCAGCTACCAGAACTTGCTTTCCAAATGAAGCATTCCGTCTTTTGATTTCTGCTCCGATTTGCAACGTTAGCTGTTTGACAGTGGTTGTTTGGTAAATCTTGTTCCTTTTGTCTCCTGAGAACCTTTAGCAGCAGAGAGCCAACTCGACCAGTGTGAACAAAAATTGTTTCCATAGGTCAGCACAAATTGAAAACCACATTAGTTGTTTCAGTAAACTGTTCAGCAGCACAGAGCGATTGTCGAACGGAAAACCACGAGGAGATGATGGCACGAAATTTCCTTCGGGAAAAGTATCTGGCGAACGCAATCAGTAGTTAAAGATTGCAGTTCGTTAGCTTAGAGTTTGGCGTAGCTTGAATCAAGCGCTGGTGCACATGCGTATGCGCACACAGTCTGCCTCGGATCCGTGCAAGCATGTGTGTGTGTGTGTGTGTGTGTGTGTGCATTTATGCGTTGACTGCAACGCAGATAGTAGTGAAATTTTCCGAGGATAATTCAGTGGATGTGGTTGGCACAGGGCATCAATTCTGGACGGGGATAACTGTTACTGTTACTGTTAGAGTCGAGGTCAGTGGTTCATTTTGCAGTAGAGCGTTGCGGCTAACATAGCTAAGCTCACGCGTATGAACGTGCCTACCTTCGAATGTCTCTTTACATTACCACGCTCTTCTTTCCCATCTGAACCGGTATCGATTGGCTCTGAACCAAAATCCAAGTTAAGGTATATTAAATACCTGGGGTGTTTTATGGATGCTAATCTTCATTGAACCTCTCACATTCAAGATATCGAACAAAGAACACAATACTACAAGCACGATTTAATTCCGGAATCATTTCGCTGCATCTCATCTGGTGCTTACTGTGGAAAAAAAAGTTTATATATCACAGGTCATGACAACCTAACATTGTTCCGCCTATGTGGTCAACGCCAGACTGATGTAGACCTCCTTCTGGTGACAGAGTAGGGGCTTTCGGCGCTTGATTGCTATGGCCTCTGCAAATCTTAACAGCCGTACATTCGAACAAGCATCGTAGACTTTCATATCCGTGAACTTCGTCAGTTTCTTATTTAACAATCGATTATTTCCAAGTCCGTGTAGCAGTGTGTTTTCCCCGTTTTACTGTCTTCTTTCTGTTTTTGATGAAATGGATAAAGGGAACTCAATGCTTCAAATAAATGGTCCGTCTACTTTTACCATGAGGCAATTTAACGACAACATGACATGGCAGTAATGGCTTCCACCAAAAGCAATATGAAGTCAACCACAACAGTCGTTTGGTAAGATTCATCTCCACTCAAATACTTCATAATATAAAAGAGTTGTGTTAATATGATATTTCTTCTCAAAGTCTAGTACGTTGTGCCTTGGGCTATATGTAGTCAATGGGTCAAGTCTGACGTGGGGAACGAACTAGAAGCAAAAGTTGCGACGCTATGTTAGCACGGCTACTCCAAGATATGGAGAAGAATACCTGAAACTATTCGCTCGCTTAAGGATATTTCGCAGTACAAAATAGTCGTCAACTTCTTAGAGTCGCGTTTCTAATTTATTTGTCAAGCCCCAAAATTAGCATTGACCGTGCCCATGAATCAGACTTGGAATACTGGCAACAGGCTACGAGACTGGAAGTTCTTCTTTGGTTGAATCGTTTTTATTTTTCTGTTGACAATATCCACCATTTTCTCTCAGATGTCAGTGGGTTACTG